AGTCCAAGCACCAGCTGCCTCAGCAGTCTTTTCCTCCAATCAACATGCAGGACATTCCCCAGGCCCTACATGTCCGAAAAGACGGACCACCTCACGTGATTGCCCATTCCACTGTCTCCCAGATAAAAGCCAGTTCCAAAATTCAAGGTTCTTTATTACGTGGCCTTGCACTCTCTGATCCATGAGTAGATGTTATCTGTGTTTTATGTCAGTTCTACAAAACATCAAAAAACAAAAACTTGAAAAAAGTTCACTCATCATCTCCCTTCAAATAGTCACTATTCTCATTCATTCCACTTTACTTTCAAGTCTGCCCATTTGCAAATAGGTGAAAGTAAAACTGTACTAATAGAAAACTTTTTGTTTTACTCTCGTCATTCGTTTAGGAAACATTTTTCACATTTCTACACGATTTTATTTTCTAATAGGTATAAAACATTCCAGCACATTGATCCAGGTCTCTACTAGCACATCTTTGGGGAAGGATTAGCAAATCTTCCCCTACAAGGTACAACTTACATAACTCCACGTGGACATCCCGATACTCAGTGTATTTACTGGGGGCAAAAAAATTATCCTGTGAATATGCAGGCAGGATGACATGGTGTGGAAGTAGGGGTCAGGCCACCTCACTTCAAATCCTATCTCTATCACTCCCTGTTTGATCCCAGACAAGTGGCTTAAACCCTAGAGGCCTCAAGTTTACTGGGAGAGAGAGCAGTAGCAGTATCTATCTCATAGAGCCATTGTGAGCAGTGAATAAGCACAGAAGACTCACAAACAGTGCCTGGCACACAGTGGACACTCAACAAAAGCTTTTTTCCCCAATAAAATTATATGAATGCTATCAATATCTTTGTGCCCATTTAAAAATTATTTTTAAAATTACTCCTATGAAAAGCATTGCCAGGAATGGGATTACTGCATTAAAATGGGCAAACAAGGATCTAAATTTGAACTCTTCATGTAAATCCACTGGGTATATAGATGGTAAATAGTAGATGATGACTAGTTACGAAATGCCATTCCATTTAGATAATCATTTCAAGAAGAGCAGTGAAATCTGTTCTAAGAGACCTTAGAAAGAAATAGAAATAGGAATTAAAATATTAAAGGAAGTGTGGATCTTGGTGTCCTCACCACAGTCCGAAGGTCAGTTCGGATGACCTGCAAGGCCTTCCCAGCTTTGTATGTCTCTGACCCAGTCTCTCCTTAGACAGCCCTCCACCCTATCACGAAGATCACAAACCCTCCGTCCCAGAAAGGACAGGTTCTTACCTCTTTCCCAAACATGCCTGATCTTTAATCTAAGATTTTGCTCATCTCACTTTCTGCCCTTTACCTCTACCTGGAGCAGCCTCTTCTCACCCTGAAGATCAACTCTGGCCATCACCCAAAGTCCCACTTTAAATCTGACCCCTCCCTCTAGGCTTCCAGTGCTCCACCCCTTTCTTTAGAATCTTAGAACATTGATTTTTTTTGCCACTGCTTATTTAAGTTTAACAGCATTAACTATGACATTCTTAAAAATTACTTTCTCTTGCATCTGAGTTAAAGCAACCTTTGCCTTCAGAAATCTAGTATGCACATATATGCATGTACAGCATCATTTAATTTAGCTAGATCTATAGCTAACAAAAACCTATCTTAACTAAAGGCACACCAGACTCCAAGATTATGAGGCAGCACAATCCAGGTTTCTACTGCATCAATATCAACATTCTTACCACCAGTCAGGCTGACAAATTTATGATAATACAGAATCTAATTGCTGATATAACGCCAGGTGAATATCATGTCATAAAATGCTTAACAATCTATTTTAAATCGTTAAAAAATAAAGTCTAAATACAAAGAGAAGAGTGCATCATTAGAATATTGTTTAAAAACAGAGCACTTTCCCTTTTTATCTTTAATCAAGTCCCATTTATAAAGTGTTTCAGATTTTTCAAAATTTCATTTCTTCCTCCAAGTTTAACCAATCCTTTTTGCCAAGTGATATATGGTAAGATGACTGAATCTACATTATTATCTGGAGATAAAGATGAGGGAACTCAAGCTGCATTTGGATACAGAAGACACATTCTAATCAAACCAAGCCACTAGAATAAATCATCTCTATAGAATGCAACTTATTATCCTTTTTTCCTTTCCAAAAAAATGAAACAAAGGAAACTAATATTAATAAATGCAATATACCTTAAAGGTTCAAAATCTTAAAATGAAGAATCATAATATGATAACAGTGTATCAAAGTTTATAAGGCACAGGGCTTTACCCCAGTATAGGCAACAACACGAAGCCATGTGGTTATCACGTTACAATATGGAGAGAAGTTGCCACACTCTGCCACCAAGCACTGCAAGCTCTCTTGGGTGTCATTTTCACCTATGACTTATGAGATTTTCTGGTTTGAAGCCTCATTATCAGTGTGTAAACTGAAGCTGCTCCAGAGGACAGAGAGAAAAGCAGCTCTGGAGGCATCTGAACTGAGGATACTCAGGCAGAGAAACCAGTCTGGTGGTGAGGCAGGAGATGAGTGGAACCAGAGGAGGAGGAGACGCAGGACAAGAAAGGACAGTGGAGAGAAGGAGAGGACGATCAGAAATGAGATGGTGGTGGGGAGAGGTATAGCTCAAGAGGTAGAGTGCATGCTTAGCATGCACAAGGTACTGGGTTCAATCCCCAGTACCTCCTCTAAAAATAAATAAATAAACCTAATTACCTCCCCCACTTAAAAAAAAGAAAAGAAATGAGATGGCAGAATGAAAAAGAAGGTCAACAAAAAGAAAGCCAGGAAGTGAAGGAAGTGTGGGCAGCAGGGAAACAAAGGGCAGAGAGGAAGGAGAAGAAAGAGAAAAAAATGTCAACAACCTTTGGGTACACAAAACACTACATGTACCATATGCCTGTTCTTCTGATTATTGTTTTTTTTTTTAAAGTCAGAGATGTTATCAAGTGACCAAAGACAGAATTAGAATCTAGGCACACAAGAGCTGGAGTATCACAGACACACATTGTTTAAAAAGAGAAACAAAAATCTAAGCTTCAGGTCAACAAATGGCATGAAAGTTACTGCCATACTGGTTTTCTTGAGTTACTAGAGCCCATGAATGAAGGAATTTACATGCTCCACTCCTGAGCTGGAGTATTTAAATACAAAAAAGAATGTGGCGTTGGTTTCTTAGTTGATCATCTTCAAACATACCTGCCAACCCGAAATGTCGTATAGTCCCAGAGTTTCTCAAAACAGTATTTCCATCATGTCTCTCTCCACACTTTGGGTCTATTTTTCCAATTTAAAATGAATTCAGGCAGGATCTACTTTGAGCCAACGTAAAGCAAATCCAGCTGGACACTGATGTCTGTGTACCATGTGTCCAGGGTCCAGGATCAAAACTCTCCTTGGACCTGGGATGTTTCCCATGATTTCCTGACCCTTCCACTCTATCAGAAACAATGTACTCTCAATGAATAGTCTTCAATTATGTGAAAATAGGCATAATGGATCATTAATCAGAAAAATGAATTCTTGTGGTGGTTGGCCAACATTTGACGCTTTCCAGGTTAAGAAATGATGGAAAAGCAAATTTAAATTCCTTACACGTAATTATAGCTATACTAATGGTAAGAATTTCCATTCAAGGAATAAGGTGATTAAGGAATTCTTCAGGCACAACTGGCCTTCCTTCAACTTCCAAATCAGCCCCCATACTCCCCTGTCCAAGTGTAAAGTTGGTGCATATAGCAGGTTATATAGCCTTCAACCTATTGCAAACATCATGAGATGAACTGAAATACAGCTCTTCGTTATTACTGAATCAATTATTCCAAACCCATCAATATTTGTTGGCATTTCCAAACAAGAAAAATCTGAATGGTTGATAGGAAGTATCAAATTCAAATATCAAATCCCTCAGCAGAGCTGAACTTCATTATTAACACTTCAACTTTTTATGACCAAAACCTAAGTCAAAGGGACAAGAGGCAATTAAAAGACTACCAAATCTGAAAGGTCTGAAAGCCACACATTCACTGATCACAACCTGACACGTGGACTCTGCTACAATGACCCAACACACTCAGTGATCCTAAACACTGAGCCAAACAACGACCACACGCCAGATCAAGCCTGAAATAAGTGAGAAAAAATTATCAAGCTAAAAAGAGTAAGTAACATTTGGGAATGAGGGGCTTATTAATAAAAAAATTTTATTAAACTCCTAGAATATAGAAACCTTTATGAACTTGCTCTAGATGATATCTCTGTCTTGACAGGCAGTTTGGATTTCTCCACCCACGTATATTAACTCTAAATTATAGAAACACAAAAATATTTTTCAGTGAATGATTGTTGATATGAGTGAAGGAACAATCTCAATGCTATTACTCCCATTAGTAACACATGTGGTCATCACACCTTCTCCCTTAACGTGGTGGTAATTCAGCCAGGAAAGACCAGAGAAGGAATCCTTAGGGAGAAACAGAAGGTTGACCATTGAGAGCACACCCAACCAAAGGAATACTGCTTATGCATCTCACTAATAAAAATGATCACTATAGCACCTATGACTAAGAAGGCATCCTACAGAACACACACCTGAGCTACCACTGGATGAAAGGAGTCAGGCCTTGAGATGCTCAGATCTCAATGTGCTACCTCTAGTCAGGAAACAGAGCCTGAATCAAGTTATCAGCATCTCCCTGGTTTCAGAAACTTATCTGCCTATGGAGAAGACTCTGTTGTATCATTTGGCAGCAGAATTTTCTTTCTGTGCTTAATGAAGGCGTGGTATTTGCAGAAAGCTATTTAAAGCTAGAGAGTACTCCCCAAGTGATGATCCCATGAACTCCTGAAGAATCACGGAATCATGGACAACCCAAGTGCTGTGTGGCAAGACATAGTGATACATGGCCCAGGATCCTCAACAGAAGCCAGGGACCCTGCTGTCCCAGCCTGTCCTACTACATCTGCCTTCCTTCTGAATAAAGACACTCACCTCAGTGCAGAATGTCTTCCCGAGCGGGATACACTGCTGCCCACAGGGGAGGGCAGGTTGCTCCCTCTGTGCAGGTCCTCAATAGACCTGCTCCAGGGCTTTGATTTGTCCACCGAGCTCTCCACAGTGCTTTCCACGCTTTCAAAGTCAAAACTGAAACAGAAGAGAAATGCCATTGAAGACTTAACAATTCACATGAAGACATGGATGTGCATAACTTGCTCCTTCCTCTTATACATCTGCACCCTAGTATGAGTAAGTTTGGCAAACAAAGAAAACTAAAAAGGAAATACAAAAGAATTTCCATGGACTCGGGGTTCGCTTCAAAAATACAAAACGACAAACAGTGACGTGCTATTTGTATTTTACCTTAAGGCTTGCTAACTTACCAATTACTGACACAGCTATGGTGGGAGGAAGAAAGGGCTCAGAGCTGTCTTCATTTTGCTTTAACAAGTCAAGATGTTAGGCTTATGCTAATTTATTCTTACCCACCAATTTTCACTGAGCATTTTCTCCTAGTGTGTTGGCAAGTGTACTTTTCCAACCATATGTGATACATTACTTGCAAAGTTATGAATTTGCTTTGATTTTGGAATCTCTTCCCAATGTGGTCCTCTGTAAAGTAGGACTGTTGTTTCTCTGACATTCTTTGAGGTTACAACTCATGCTAACCATGTTAGAATAAATGGCAAGTTAAGGTGCTCATTCTTGTATAATTTTAGGAACAAATTTTTAAATATACAGGCCTTTGTGTTCTAATGCTTTTTTTCCCTTCTAAAGTCAGTACCTTTATTTTCTCAGAAAAAAAAAATTTTATCAATTGGTTCTACCCATAGTTCCACCAAGCAACACCTGATCAGGGAATAGACAAAATGCTGCTATAATTAATATCATCTGGAGGATTTTGGAGGCTATCATGGAAGAAATATCAATAAAACATACTGGAAATAACAAGTATGACTTTTTATAAAAGTTTCACTGCCAAAATAAAATATTTGGTTCCAACAACCATCTGTAAACTAGGTGATGCTCTCCCCAGTTAAATACTAACCAAGAGGACACAGTTGATGTATAAAGTCATCGAATTGGTCTAAAAATTTTGTCATACCTTAGGATACAGGAAGCAGATGGAAAACAGATAAGAGGTGGAATTTATTGAGTAATCAAACAGATTCTTAAGCACCAAAAATAGAAGACTATCATTGACATTGGAGAAGGTAAGCCTAGGGGCATCCCAAGATCACTCATGTCATTAACACTCTCACCGAGTCACTCTGCAGCCCCCATATGTTCAGCTGCTCAGCATCCTTACATTCTGCTCAGCTCACCCGCTGCTCTCACTGAGTAGAAGAAACACACACTTTGGTGAAAGCTTCTGTTTTAGGGATGGTGTGTGAGTCTGCTGTTTCACATGACATGGGCTAAGAAATTGTCACATGCCAAGGAAGGGTAACAAATTTTTTCAGCCCATTTAGTTTCAAGAAAGAAAATAAATTATGTATCTGTATATAATTTTTCATCTAATTAAAGCAAAACAAAACTTAAACCAATAAGCAAAGAATGTACAGCTAATGTCAAAAGAAAAAAAAGTAATTAGGAACCAAATGCTCTGAGTTCTGATCTTTTGTCGTCTTCGCTCTTAGGCTGCAAACTAGGAGACTCTCCTCGTAATAGCACTACATTCTCCCACTAGTCTTATGTGAGGGTACACTTGGGAAAGCTGGTTCACAAGTTCTGTTGTGATGGAGGTACAGGCTTAATTACAGCAAACATATAACAAACAGCATGCCTTTCTTTCCCATTATTCCTCAAGTTTCTTAGCCTTTCCTCAATTCCATAAATATTCCTCCAGATTTTAAAATATGCAACAGGGTAGTGTTATTCTGTTTTGTCGTATAATATGAAGCATAAGGGAGATTAGCAGTTTTTGATGTAATGGAGGTAGACAAGAAACAGCCTTTGGAAGAGCATGCCATAAAAACTAGAATTATATTTCAGAGGACAATTTCTCAGGAAGATAAGAATGTGTCTTTTTTTTCTTATTATATTTCATATAATATACCAGAATTATCAAAACTGAAACTAATCAAGCCAGTTTCTGTTAATACTTTCATTTCAGCATCTACAAGGTAGGAATAATAATAGCTTTCACTTCATACATTCTCAAGGAAGTGATGAGGATTATAAGATCACATATGGTTAGGTCTTAGAACATCTTAAAAAGTGGGGCAACATAAAAAACAAGCTACTGCTCTGAAAACAAGAGTTGAGGGAAAAAAAAATACCACCTAGACCGAACTGTCTTCCAGTCAAATTAAAAGTATAGTATTATTTCCTCAATGTGTGTGTGTGAATTATTTGTGCATCCTAGAATATTTTTGGATTAAAAGAGGGAATGTGGAGAAGAGAATGTCTCATTCAAATGTATAGGTTTCATTCCTGTTGTAAATCTTTCCAAAAGCCTAGTAAATGGGAAAATTTTATGAATCAAAAAAGCAAGGTGAAATAACTAAATCTTTTTTTCTGCTCTGCTCCAGTTTTGTATCCTTCCCCTTAGGAAGGGCAAGTCAAAACAAATACAATATAACTAACTACTATACATAAAATAGATAAACAACAAGTTTCTTCTGTATAGCACAGGGAACTATAATCAGTATCTTGTAATAACCTACAATGAAAAAGAATATGAAAATGAATATATGTATGTACAGTATGACTGAAACATTATGCTGTACACCAGAAATTGGCACAACACGGTAAAGTGACTATACTTCAATTAAAAAAAATACAATACAAATACATGTAAAGTAAAAAGGAAAGCCTCTTGCTTACCCCCCTCTTCCTTCATTCCCACTGTTTGGTATCTATTTCTGCAATCATTTTTTCTATATCTGCTAGTACATACAAATATACACATATATGAAGTTTTTTTCTAAATAAAAAGGGAGTCACTCTTCTGTATCTTCCTTTATTCACTCAATAATATATCACATACCTCTTTCAGTAATTGCTAGAGCATTCTACCATATGGATATATGTAACTTGAGCACTAAAGAAAGCATTTCTTTTTGAAATAAAGAGTCCTTGAAGGGTGATTTTACTCTCCTGTTTTACTTCTGCCTTAAAAGCATTTCTAATAACAATTATGTGATTTGCTTTTAGTTACTTGAATAGAAACAAACCGCCTTAAACCTTACCACATGTGCTTCTGGGAGTCTCCCCTCAGCGTGGTATCTAATTTTACCACTGAGTTGCATCTTCTGTGACCACATAAATATTTTAAAGCAAAGGCGGCAAGTTTTACTCACGTTACTGCATACTGCGCAAATGACAGATATTCCACCAGAACATCAAGACCTTTGTTTTCTTCATTCAGAAACTCTCTGACCCACCTGTTGCAGGGGAAAAAAAAAATCATCGGCAAGGTTCATCACATGCTCTAGCGTGAAAAGGACACAGTGAAAAGTTATTTTTCCACCAGACACTCACCATCTGAAAGGAACTGTGGAATAAGGCCTAGACTCTATCATATGAGGTAGGGGCTTTTAGACACGGCAACCAAGAAAACCACAACATTTCAATGTGTGGAAAAGGGGGGCAAAAAGTATCCATGTGCCTTGCTTGTATTCTACTGCTTAGGAGACTTAAGATAACCTGTAATAAACTTTGTAAAAAACGAACTTGCTAAATGTACTTTTTCCACCATAGCTGATCCACTGCCTGCCTGTTTAAGGAGCCAAGACTGCACGGGGAACCAGGCAGACTGAGGACATGACGACATAACCACTGAAATCCAGGCATGATTCCAAATGCACGTTCAACTCCTTGCTGGCACACTAAGCTGTAGAAAACACTAAACTAGCCAGTGAGAGACCAGTGTTTATGGGCTTCTGGAAATTCAGTAGGGATAATGATTTGCTTAATTTTTTTCCATGACTGTTAAACTCTTAAAAAAAAAGTCCCAGGCACCACACACCATCAATGCCAAGACATGACAAATATCATGGTTTTTAAAAAATTCATTTAAAATAATACTACTTTGTGTTTGAACAGTGGATTTGAATGTAGTTCACTGAGAATTTTTACATATTTTTATCTGTCCTTCAGAGTAACTCCTAGAAGATGAAGCAGAGTGGTCAAACACAATCTTCAGGTGCTGAGGATAAACACCTCTTACCCCATGTTACAGATTTCTCTCAGGTCATCCATCTTCAAAGAACATGGGATACCCCATTCAGTCTGCACAAGGTTTGAAACTCCAACCAATAATTAAAAGATCTGCTATTACAGAAATGAATCTTGGAGTCCATCAGCCAACAGCATTCCAAAATGTTTGCCTTCCTCCATGAACACCAAGTCAACAAGGCCCACTGGCTATGCACATGATGGCTATTATGGAAATCAGTTTTGAGAGCTATTAGAATAACAGTGGGATCATTCTATTGTGTGTCTTTAAGGATGAGCTGTGCATTGAGGTTTTTGTCTTAAAGGAAGAAACAAATCTGGTGGACTCAGAAAGCCTATTTTTAAAGTTTTGTTTTTAAGGGGATGTTTTGGGTTTTTTTTGTTTTATCCTCAAGCTCATCCTCTTTCCAGTCCTAACATCTCCACAATGGAAACTCAGCTTCAGCAGGTAGTTTCAGAAGACAGTAAGATAGGAAAAGTAGACAGCTTACCTCATACCTTCCCCCAAGTGCCTCAGATAGGCTACCACAAAATGTACGCACATAACACAGCCATGAGGAAGCATGAACACCTCATCTGAAAGAGACTTGGAGTGGAAACACTACCTGCTGGGTCTCACAAAGTGGCTTTGTTAGGGGAGCAGAACTAAGGGGATTGGCTCTTAGTAGAGGCTGAAGTTTGATTTCACAACCACCCCACACATGATCTCACAGCATCTGCTTCTAGATACTTATTTTCACTGGATTTATTTTAAATTACTCCCTATGTGGCTAGGTCTCAGAAGACACTGGACATTTTTAAGTGCTGATAATGAAAAGCTTAGAAGTATTTAATTTTTTTTTCTTTTTACAACTGGTAGGAGACTAAAATAAAGCTGGAACTCAGTACTGAATTGAATGACTAGCTGTGTGCTCTTGAAATTCAAGCCCCCTTAGCTTCCCTGAGGTTTCTCCATTCATTGGTCGGGTCTATGGGCTCTGACTGCAAGATTTAAACCAGTCCTCAGTGGTGGGTGCACAGCAAGAGTCCCCAGAGCTGGGCGTGGGGGCTGTCTTTCTAATAGGAAAAGTAGCCACAGGGTCCAGATTTTTCAGAGCAATCTTGGTTTCATATAGTCTGTCTCAGTAACTCATAAGAGCATTAATTTAGGAGTTGAGAAGAACAGCCTCTGTAGTTGCTTCTGGTTGATTTTCCAGACACTACCTCTACAAATCAGAAACGGTCCAGGACACCTTAAGGACCTGCTAACACCTCTAACTTACAAAGTTCAGACACAAACTGGATAGGAAACAAATGACTCACAGATATTTAACCAAAAACAACAAGGAGGAAGAAAGAAATGGTAGGAAATAGCCAGTACAGCGAGAGCTACAATTTTCTTGACTCAAAGTGCTGATAAGCGCCTTAAAAATAAATTTCAAAGTGAAAGGCAGAAGCCAGCTAGCTGCTCAGTTCCTAAGAAGACAGCCAAGCATGTAACATGTCCTGCCTCTGCGAGACTTCATTTCACTTTTAACCTCTTTTTCCATGCTGTGAGATCTTCCCTGAATCTCTGATATGGCCAGACCCCTATAGGTGATTTAGGGAAGAGTAAGCTATAAATCCACCACAGCTGACTACTGTACCCCACTTTGTCAAGTGAGATGAGGTTAGTAAAGTCACCTCAGCAAAAAAGGCTATCGGTTATAAGGAAAAAGCAGCCTTCAATTTTTCCCCCGTCCGCTCACTCCCTATCCCTACCCTACCTGGGATATTCTGTATGGGAGAGAACAGAGGTGAGGGTGGGCTTCTGTGGAAAAGAAAGAATATGGAAATAAAATCAGGAGAGACGAAAAAGGGGCAACTTTCAAAGCAGTACCTTTCATCTAAAGGCATAAAAAAACGGATGCCCCATTCTGCAGATTTATGTACATTAATGACATATCATAAATCTAGGGTTCCTGTAGAAAATTTCCATTTTCACCTCTGTGCAGGCTACACACACTTTAATATATTGCCAATATGCAAACAGTTTCAAATTGAGTGATTACAGGTTTTGGAAAGTAGAATTATTTCTGATGCTGACAGCATGCACCATTTACTGACTACCTTACAGATGCGATGTTATTACCATATATTGTCAATTTCAATTTAGGCAAATTCCAAATCAGCTGCTTAGGCGCTAGAAGACACGGTGATAATGAGAAATAGCTCTGGAAAAAAGCTTCAAGGAAGGGCTGTAAATGAAGATGCCAATAGTTACTGTTTCACTATAGACAGGTCAAAGCTTTGTTTCCAGATTGCTATTGTTTTCTCTCTGCCCCCTAAATCTTAGAACCTCATTGTTCTCATCTAGAAAATTAAGCCTCAAAGGACATTTCTGGCTTTAAATTTCTAAGATCAAAGAAAGCAGACCCAAGACACACAAGATAAAGGGATAAATGGTGAATTCTCTCGGTCAGTCTCCTTTAGAGAGATGCTACAGGCATCCGGTAGGAATCGCAGTTGCTGACAAATCATGAAAAAAAAAAAATCACAAGAAGCAAGAGAAAGAAGGTAAGCATCACCCAGATTCACCGTGGGCTACCAATCTGTTCCACCAACAACATCACAAACTAGTTTTCAGAGTATAGCACATGTACCACCTGTGGTCCCTGAAGCCCTCTCAGGAGTCTGTGAAGTTAAAACCATTTTCATACAATTACAAAAGTAGTTACTTTTGTCACTGACACTCGCGCTGATGGTACAAAAGAAATGTGAATAAAACTGCTACCATCAAAAATACGCCCTGTTTATTGTATGTTCACCCTAAGCACTTAGGAGGAAAAGAGAAATCAGCTGCACTTAAACTGTCCTCAGTGAAGCACTAAAAATCACTAATTTTAGTAATGCTTCCTCCCTGAGTATACACCTTTTTAATTTTCCGTGTGATAAAAATGGGAAACCCACAGAGAGCACTCCTGCTGTCTGCCCAGGAATGACGACGTCTTAAGGAAAAGCACTAGTGCAGCTGCTGGAGCTGGTAACCGAACCAGCCCCTTTTTTACATGGAATATAAAATGACGGACAAATTACGGTTATTCTGTCTCAGGTGTTAGGCAGATATTCTCAAAAGTGAATGAAGTGAGCCTACCATTTTGAGGAATACAACTGACAACACTTGCTCTCAATGAGAAAATTTGAGCTTACAAGGAGAAAAATGAGAATTTTGGAACATTTGTATTCACCACCTGAGTTGGACAGCTTCCCAGTATTTAAAGTATATTCTGATGAGACTGATGATTATTAACAAATGTGACTGTTTTTTATAGTATAGAATAAAATGTATTGACATTTGATAGATCAGGATGACTCAGGGAAACAAGCTTTTCCAAATGACTAATTCATGATGCTACAAAATTACCATGGGTATAAACACCCATTCAAAGTGCAAGACAACACAATGGATTGAAGTATAATAGGGTACAAAAGCTCACTGATTATGGCTTCTGATTCCACACGACAAGTAACTTTAAGAAATTACCACTTCTTGGGGAGGAAGGGGTAGCTCAGTAGTAGAGTGCATGCTTAGCATGCACAAGGTCCTGGGTTCAATCACTGGTACCTCCACTAAAAATTACCACTCCCCCACAAAAAATAAGTAAATAAATTTTTTAAAAATTACCACTTCTTGAATTTTGGTGTAGTATCAAAGAATATCTACAATTATCTGAAAAGATTACTTAAAAGCTCTTTCTTTTGTCAAGTGCATATCTGTGTAAAGCCAGGTCTTCTTCATATACATCAACTAAAACACATTACAATAAACTGAATACATACAAAGATATGAGAGTCCAACTGCCTTCTATCAGTGAGACATTAAAGAGATTTGTAAACATGTAAATCAATGCCACTCTTGTCACTGATTTTTTTTTTTTGCTTTGGAAGATAGTTATTTTCATGAAATATGTTATTTGTGCTATATTATGTTCATTTTATATTTACATATTTACATTTATTAAATATTCATTGTTAAATAAATATTAAATGTTATTAAATAAGCACATCTAAAATTTATCAGTTTAAATTTCCAATACAGTAACACTAATAAATAAAATCCACATAAATAAAAATTGATTGGAGTTCAAATAAATTTAAGACAGTCAAGTAGTCCTGAAATCAAAAAATTTAATAACTGCTGGTTTAGATAACAGGCTTTAGATTTGTACATCTCCAGGGTCAAATCTCAGTGCTTCTGAATTACATGGACTTAACCAAGATATTTAATTGCTGACTCTGTTTCCTCATCTGAAAAACAGAGGTTCAGCGGTAAAGGGTAATAATAAAAATATTTCTGTGAGAAATAACACATTTAACTTGCAGAATAGAGTGCTTAACTACATGATAAAATGATTACACTCTTGAGGATGTCCAAAAAAGCACCATCTAAGAATCAGTTAATCACAGGGTAGCTTGATGCACACACTCACACCACACATGATGTGGCACAAATCTAGCTTTAGCTATTCTGTTTCCTGTCAGCCTGGCCCAGCCAGCACCGTTTCACAAAGTGGCCAGGCCGTCCAGGAGAAAAGACAGGCACACAACACTCCTCAGCTCCTTCCTTTTTCTACACGTCTCCCCTCTCCTTGCTAACCTGCACATTCTGCCTGCAACCTCCTGCCCACTCTTATCCCCCCTACCATTGAGATACACTGAAAAGAGCAGCTTTCAGAACCTCTATGACCTTGCACTCAGGATGAAAAGTAATTTTCTATCATAATAGGCAGTTTTACTAAAATTAATTACCTGCAAGGAGAGAGAGAGCCTACACCTCAGTTTCATGGACTAAAACCCGTCAATCTACTGGGCCCCCAACCATCAGCACCACTTGAATCTGATCACCCTGACATCCAAGGCATCCTGACATCTGCCTCCTCGCACAACACAGCCAATGTGTTCTAACAGCGCTTGGCTCCTTTCAAGGCTATTTCAAGTCATTTCAAGGGCGTGGATAAGCCATAATCCAATTTCTCTCTATTATTATAGTTCCTAAGAGTAAGTGAACGAGATTATTTCTAGTCCAATTCTTATTTCAATTTGGCTCAAAAAATTAATTTTCTTTCTTAGATGACTGCTCCATTTATAGTTTTAGGCTGATATCAAAACTCAGAATAGGCCCTTTGCTTGACAAAAGCTGTAGCTTGGAATGTTATCTGAGGAAAGCCCCAGATTTTAACCTTGACATGCAAGCATGTGCCAAAAATAATTTTTTTTCAGGACAAGTAGATTTCAAATGTAATTCTTTTAATTTCTGGGAATCACCAACTCCTAGGTGTCAGGGTCACTTTAGACAGAGAAGGTAACATTCTCTGCATGGATTTCCTTAGGGACACATCACACAATACTGTTGAGTTATTATCTGATACAATATTATTTTCAACAAGAATAACAACAAATAACATCTATCATATGTTGAGTTATTACTTTATATTAAACCCTATATTGTCTTTCCTAAGTTATCACATTTAATTATTACAACATTCCTATTAAATAGTATTATTCTCATTTTATAGGTGAGAAGCTAACTGGGTCACATGGTAAATAGAGAGGGTTTATATAACTTATTTAAGTCAAAGAGGGGGGCATGGCAAAAGTATGAGCCACGATCTCTAAGGCAAATGGGCACCCAATTATACTTTTAATCTGGTACCCCAAAGAGTGCAATAAAAATCTAGAGATCCCCTCTACAGCACCCTGCATTCCCAGAACTCTTCGTTGTAGTAACTGATGATTTTCACACTATTGAGTAACTCTTCAGAGGTTTTCCCCATCAAATATGGTCAAGCCAATTAATTTCCATAAAGAAGAGTCCAGTTCAGGTTTGGGTATTCAGGACAGGCAAGATAGGTCAAAATCCTGGTGTGTGGTTTCATTCCATGATAAGGTTATGCCAATAACTGATGATTTCATACAACCAGACAATGCACTTCCTTGAATTTCTCTGCTGCTAAAACCAAAGCTTTCAGAGTGTCTCAAGTAGATAGTAGACAAGGGAAAACTGCAGCTGGTGAAGATGAAAGAAATGTAAGACTCTTTCAACATGCTCAGAGTATCCTAAACAACAAACCACACCAATTGCTTGCAGATTTGCACTGGCTTCCACCCAACCAGAGCTCTTCTCTTCATCCAACTTTGTATTGGAAACGATCATCTTGCTTTGGCATTTGATGGTCAATTTCACATTACTTCAGCAATGCTTGAAGAGATGCTTTTCGACAATTTGTAGAAATCTGGGCTGCGGCTCATTTTACCATTTTCATTCAAGAAGAAGTGCCAACAGTATAGGATTGAACCTTACCAAATGGAATCTAGTTCCTTATCCACTAACATTGGAAAGCATTTGAATTTCCTAAGCTTCAGATGCCGAACTGTATTAAATCACCACCACTCTCACCCCCAATAGACAAGCCTCATTGCTTTGATCCCTGAGCCCTGATTATCTTATTTCTTTTCAGGGGAAGAGCTGCCAGATTAGACTACAGAAGTAAAAGAACACAGCATTTTGAACAAATCACCTGGTTCTACAGCTGTAGACTCTGTGAAAGTCACTCACCTTTTCCAGTCCTTAATTCTTTTAATCTATCAAATGAGGGACCAGGTAACTGTTAATTTCTCTGTTACAGTTCACTTTCACGACACTGTGATCCATTGTTCTACATCCCATTTTCCAGGACAGAGGTGATTATCAACTCTAGGTTAGATCAGTTCATTTTCTGAATACTTCATTTTTGAGGTGACAAACATGTGAAATTATCCTTAAGGAAGTGAAAATTCTCACCCAAGCTCTGGAACTACAAATTAACCTTGCATTTCTATGACCTAAAAATGCTTATTCTGAAAAAAATAACCACCTAAATGGCTTATACCAAACACAGTCCAAAGTAGAAGTTAACTGTTATTTAGGTAATATATTTATCCTACAGATACTCTGTAAAACAAAAAGGTAATATACATGGAAAACTTCATTACGATTACCTGTCACAGGGGAAAATTCTGAGAGATATAAAGTCTATACTCTTTTCCTCGTAAACTTCAAAGAATTAAAATCCAGAGGGGTTAAGTAATTGTCAAATGTTAAACAGGCACTTTAGGAAGAATTGAAGCTATAAAATACCAATATCATTCTGCTTTAGAGATAAACCATCTTACTTGAATGTGCTGTACAATTCTGCCATCTCAGGAGGAAGAGTGTGTGTAATGAAGTTGTACTTGCTTGAGGCAAAGCAACCATGCTGTTGCACAAAAACCTCTTAGAAATGCTTAGTGCAGAGATTCCCCACACTTTACCCAGTGTGGATTTATACTTCATGGTCCTGAAATTCTGGCTTGGAGGAAGAAGAGACTCAGAACAAAGTATTTAAGTGCAAGGAGGTGTGTCAAGTGACATCACTCCAGCTTCTGTCCCCTTCTGGCCAGGGAATTAAAAAAATAATGAAGCAGCTTTGACTAACCAGCTTGAAGAACTCCAGTGAAGGCTTCTAGAACTCCCAGGATCTCAGCCTACATTACTTATCGGGGGTTCCTGATTTCCCAGGGAATTACTATGCACACACTACCACTGCATCCAAGCAAAGGATTTTAGAATTGTTATAAGCATCCCAAGTCAAGGACTGTCTGTCCTGCTCTGACTGATTCTTGTACAGTGAGCAATTGGAGAATGAAAACAAAGCTTCCACCCATCTAAACCTCAGTCTCTTAACTTACAATGAACAGAAAGGAAGCTTAATTCTCTGGATATGATTCAGTCACTTTGTAAAGTGTCCAAAAGCCCATAGAGCTAAAATGTGAACACACTTACCCAATATGGTTGGTTCTTAAAGAAATTTCCAGTTCTCTTAGCACTTGTGTGGATTCTTGAACACGCCGTCTGAATTTCTATAATTCAAGAACACATATTCTTAAAAACATTTTAGTAACTGCTAGAACTGCAGCTTACTTGTAGTAAGTTTAACAGAATATGAAAATATCTGCTTCTAAAGTGGGCTTCTCTCACATTTCTTTCTGCAAACTACACAAGTTTCTCATCATAAAAATCAGCTTATGCAAAAGGACTGGGGGAAATTATTTATTTCATGTACGAAGTGTCCTTAAGTAAGTAGATTGTTTTTTCCTGTCCCATAATACAACAGTCACTGACACATCTATGTGTTGGGGCCCCTGAAACTACCCATTTCAGTGATTCTCTAGGGCTCACAGGACTCAGCGTGTAGTTATCCTTATGGCGATGATTTACTACAGCAAAGAGAGACTAGGCACAATTAGCTAAGGAGGTGCACAAGGTGAAGTCCAGAGGAAACCAGGTACAAGCTTCCAGGAGTCTTTACCCATAAAAGTCACAAATGACAATATTTGTGAAATGCTGTCTACCAGGGAAGCTCATTAGAGACTTAGTACCTGGGGCTGATCACTTAGTACTCTCTGCCCAGCACATACCCAAAGTCCAGCCTCCCAGAAAGAAAACAGGCATTCAGCATAAACCATGCGGTTGGCATAAACAGGGTGGTGCAGTGGGCCATTATGAACAGGGGATGGTAGGAACCAAGTTTCCAGTTGCAAATCAAAGGCCAACCTTGCAAGTAGGCCTTTTTAAGGTAGCAATCTCCAATTTACTATGTTCATTCTTTTCTGCAGGACCTCACTTGGAAGGTCCCTCCTCTAGACACCTCCTTTTTATTTCTGGAATGTCCTTTCTCATTCCCTTGTCTATCAAAATCCCACCTGTCCTTCCAGAACTCCCTCAGGTCTTCCTTTCTCCAATGAATCCTCCTCTGATAGTCAATGTCCTCACCTCTCTATCCTCTCGACTCCAAATAATCCTCAAGGTATCACTAGGTTGCACTGCACATGAGTTCTCTGGAACATAGTTTCCTATGAAACATTTATTTCCAGTAACTGCAGCCTCAGGCTGGTCTGGAATAATGTCATTTGGTGTGCAATGCCTTCTGAGAAGAGTTCTTTGCTCTCTGTGCTCCAGACCCAAACCACCTTTAGGTTACACTGTTTTCAGGAAAAGCCTTTGAGAATTCTGGCCATGACTGCAGCTGAATCAGGGTCATCCAACTCCAAGGAAAGGCATCCATGGACAGAAAGGAGAGGGGAAAGCTGTCCAGGAGGAGTCTAAGATGTGGAGAGGGGAGAGCACTGCCCTGCCCCAGGTGGGACCTGCTGCCCCAGGGAGGATACCTGCTCATACTGGGGGCTCCAGTCACCCTCTTCTCCTCTTCTGAAGGCTCTTCATTTCTCCGACAGTTGCTTTGCACTAGGGAAAATAGTCTCAATTTCCCCCCTGGAGGTACCCTAAAGACCTTCTCAGGTTTGCAGCATCCAGGATATAGGAAATAAAAGCATCCTTGATGCAACGAGAAGGGGGAAAAAAAGGCACCCCCTCTTTTGTCAAGAAAAGCTTAAGAAGCAGCAGAGTCATCTGTAGTTTGGAGGGACTTCCAAGCCCAGGGCTTCCTGAAGAGCTTTCCAGCAATGAAGATCACTGATGAGGTGGGTCTTTGGCCACACAGTTGAGGAAACCATTTCCAGGTATGCTGGCTGCTCCAGAAGCGCCACATCAGAGTCACAAGTCTTGGGCTGTCTGCACATGTGGCCTTTAGAAGATGACTCGGCATTTCTAGCCATGCATTATGCAGAGTCCTGACTCATTCCCTGGAGCTTGTACTGGTCCCTTAATTCTGCCTTATGCTTCCTTAAGGCAAGGTCCTCCCTCACCTACATCGTGAACCACATGGTACCCAGCATAGCACCGAAGACCTAACAGAGTACAAAAGAGCATCTAATTGGATGGAGGGTACAGCTCAGTAGTGGTAGAATGCATGCTTAGCATGCACGAGGTCCTGGGTTCAGTCCCTAGTACCTACTTTAAAAAAAAAATTTAAAAGCTTAAGAAAAAACAAAACAAAAAAGAGGATCGGCTGAAGGACTAAGAGATATATCAAAACAAAACAATTTAATCAAAACGCTGAGGTAACAGGGATGACAACAATAGCAGGTAACATTTATTAGGCATTTACTGCGGGAGGCACTACACTTTGGAAACTGCAGGATAACTGAGGTAGAACTAAACTGACTTTGCATTCTATTCTCTTGGGGACTGTTCAACTTTCAGCTGGACTCTGAACCACACAGAAGCCTTGGCATCCACTTCCCTCAAACATAAACAGTGAGTGGCGACATTCTGCACTTTTTTTTTTTTTGGCAAAGGGAGGTAATTAAGTTTATTTATTTGTTTATTTAATGGAGTACTGGGGATTGAACCCAGGACCTTGTGCACTGAGCTACACCCTCCCCTCACCCCCACCCCAACTTCTACAATGGAACCAGCATGCTCTAAAACACTTAAAGGGAAATCACATGTCTGTGGGAACCAGCAAAAAAGAGCTGGACACCATTGATTAGGAGCATCCACCTTTCCCCTGGTCCTTTCTGCAAAAGGCCGGCCCAGGGAGGAGCCCACGGAGACAGCTGAGCCCTGGAAGCCTGTCTAATAGGTTTAATTTTATGACTGCAGAGCTCAAAGGGGACCAGACTCCTTCCTTCATGGCCTGTAGCCTTTCTCCAGGTCAGTCATGAGCACTTCCCCACCCCAGGACAGACTGAGAACTGCCTGGTATTAAACAAGGAGGCTGATTTGGAGAGTTCTGGTCACAGAGATATCTAATTTAGGCTCTTCCTTCCCTGCCCTACAGGGTTTCATTTAAAACTACTTGGAAGAAAATCTAAACAGAATATGCTTAAGGATTTTTTTTTTTAAAAGAAGACAGCAAATTAAGTATCTTCTATTCAAGGTGAACAAAAGATTAATGAATGAAGTGCCTGAAGACTCCAGATAACATTAAGGGAAGACTGCTCAACCTAGACTACCTGGCTAATATTGAAAGCTTGATTTGAAATCTCTTTTTCCCCCACCATTATACAGCTGAGACTCATAGTAAATTCATTTTAACTGCTAGCCATGTCTTATTCCAAGCAAAATCTCCTTTTTTTTCCAGGCTTTAAACACGACAATTACACCGAGTGGAACCTATCACTTCCTACCGCCGCTGCCAACAGAACTCTTACTATAACAGGGGACGATTGATCTGATATACAGTTTATTTTTTTCTGAGCTGAATGACAGATCTTAAAAGATGAGGCACAAGCCAAACAAGGCCATTCAGGTGAATATACACGGTAAGGGCAGAGATTTTAGGAATGAAGGCAGCCCAGACAGACATCCTTTGTCTTGGGCCTCTTCATAAAGTTATTTGCAAGGAAGTTAAACGGAGGGAGCAGCTGATTTGCTGCTGTTTTTTCATTTTACATTCTTTGCCTTAACCCAGGCATAACTGTTTCAAAGGAGGGCTGGGACCGGGCCAGGAAGAACCCACCGCTTCCCTCCAACCATCTTCCTCCTCAAGGGCTTTGGAACTGCAGTCTACAAAGCACTCGCGAGAAGTTTCCATTTTTAGTTTTCTTTTTAAAGAATCTGACAAATGTTGAGGTAACTGTTGGGAGACGGGCCATACTCTGTGTGAGGGGAGCTCTCAGTCTTGTGCACAAACACTGGCTTTTCTGCCACACTCAGCTTGGGGTGAGTGTGCCTATGGCTGGGGTCGGAGCCAGCCAGCCAGCCAGAAGGTTTCCAAGTTGGGGGATTTCTGAAAATATTTCTCAAATAGAATCTTGCTGCCCTGTGCAAAGGAACAGCCCAGAAAACCACCTGGGATTTTCTGGGGGCTTGTATTTTGTGTATACGGGTGCACCTTCCTTTAACTCTCCCCAATCTGATAGAATGGAAGATTGCTATATCCTTGGGGAAGGGGAGCAGAAAGGAACTAAGAATTAAGCAGCTGTCTCAGGAGGGGGCCTGACAGCAGCTCTTTAAAAAAGAGAGAGAGAGAGAGACACGTGTATGATAAATTGGTGAGGAGGGGACATACGAGGATCCCTTGACAGGCACATGCTTAGAAGAGGAGGCTATGTCATATTCAAGTCACACATGGCATCTGGGTGACAGCAAAGGTCCACAGCCCATTCACATCATCACTCCTAGATTTTATTTCCACTTGTCTGCATAGTATCCATAGGACACTGGGCCAGGAGCCGTCCGAAAGGAAATAATAGCTGTTCTCCTTCCCTTGATTTCTTTTGGCAGAGGGGAGGGTGGAGTTTACAATGGAAGCAGAAGATGAAAAAAATAAAAGATTAACAAAAAAAAAGATTAACAAAAAAATATAAGAGCCAAGAGCCCTGGAAACAGTGGCTAACTAGGAAAAGTGTGCCTTTCTGCTCTCATGAGTCACACACTCAAACAACAGAGGGAATTCAGCTCCAGATATTTTCTCTGCAGCCTTGAAAGCAGGAGCTGTGGAAGGTCAATCGAAAAACAAGTGCTGTCTGGTGCCGAGCCCTTTACCCATCGTGAGCAAGGGCAGCTCTGCCCTGAGTCAGCCCAGGACTGATCCAGGCCCGCAGGGCTGTGCCAGGCTGCATGCTTTACCACGAAGCATCAGTTTAGACCAATTGTGTGGCTGCACAAAGCAAGGCTTGTTTGTAAAAGGAGAGAGTCCACTGAGAATGGAATCAGCTCTTCTCTCCTCACCTCCTTGGGGCCAGGGGCACGGCTGGGGCCAGGGAAGCCACTAAAAACATCAACACAGGATGTGAGTGCACAGCTGGGATGACAAAGCCCCAGTGATGTTTTTCAAGGTCTCTGGAAATGCACCAAGGCATGAAAGACAAGTATTCCCTCTGCTCGGCATGCTCTTCTCAGGGCCTGAACACCTCCGGACAGAACTTACTGCCTTGTGTAATAACCGTCAGAAGGACATGACTCCCATCTCAGGAAAGTACTTTTAAACACACTCCCAAGCGAGGATGGCTTTTTTCTTTGCCTTCTCGTGCTGTCGGGCTCCAAAGGTTGTTTTCCTGGAGGCTCTGGGAGAGGCTACAATGCAGAGGAAGGAAGGTCTCCCTCCAGTGCAGGAGGATCCTACTCTGCCTGCTCATAAGGAAGCAAAACCACCATGTGGAAACACACACATCTTACCTTCCTGGTTACAGCTGGATCCAGATAGCCTTTGAGCTTTTGAATGTAAGTATGGGGAGGGTTCTTCACCTGGAATCGTTCCTGCAGGAAGCACAAAAGCAAAGTAAAAAGAATGAAAGCAATGAAGTATGAAGGCATGACAGTCAGCCACATTCAAACAGATTCATCCCGCTGATTCCAAGCCAAAAACGCATCCATAGTATTCACACTGCAGCCCTTCAAATAGTCATTGGTTTTCAATCTTTATAGTAGGTGTTATTATCCCCTCTTTCCCAGGAGAAGAAACTGAGAAATTCAGCACTTCCCTAAGATGACACAGCTGATCAGTGGTACAGGTGGATTTGAACCCATGTCTTCCTAACTCTAGAGTCTGACTCGCTTTCTCTGTAAGGCTCTGCAGCAATTTTTCTGGGAATAGTGTTCTGCCCAACGTGCACTCAGGGTCCTCTTCTAGCAGGTCTTCAGTCTACTGCATATTCTTTTGAGAATCTTCAGCGTTGGTAAATCTTTTTCTTCTGAGTATTTTATCTTTGAAAATACCACAATTCAACTCAAACTAGATAAAACTAACTTTTTTCAAAAGTGAGTAATGAGTCCAATGCTAAGAGACTGCAGTGAGCATGTGTATATTTGTGTGTGGGCACATGCACGTGTGTGACCATTAGGAGCTCCTAAGGCAGGTCCCCAATCAGAAGACACAAAAATATACTGAAATATCAAAACAAGCATAGTATATTTTATATATAGATAATATATATACTTCTCAAGGTGATATCTGAAGGTGGATTTGGGATGGGACCCTGAGAGTCTACATTTCTAACAAGTTTCATGCTGATGCTGTGGATGGAGGGTCCACACTTTAAGAAACTCATGCTCACATGTATCAGGTTTTAGAGACCATAGTAGAATATGCTGTAGGAAGTTGGGTAAAACCCAAAGGCCCACACTATAAAATGGTATGTACTGTGTTATGTTCATATAATGAGATACAACATTCTGAAGAAAAAGAACAAACTGTACTGCATCATCCTACATGGATGGATCTTATAAGCCTGATGTTGAGACAAAGAAGCATGATTCTTTTTACACAACAGACATAATTAAATGTTAATGGTTAGGGACACACACACACACACACACACACACACATGAGGTTGGGGAGAGGTAAGGAATTTGCATAAAAATGATAGTCTGAGGACCAAGGTGGGGGAAGAAAATACAGACTGATCCTGAGAGGCTGGCAACGTTCTATTTCCTGATCCCAGTGATAGCTACATGGCTGCTGGCATTATCTTACTTATGCTCTTCTTCAGTTTCACAACCTTTTCTGTATATATGCTATATTTCACACACAAGGTTTACCTAAATCAGCTCTAAAAGGAAAAAAAAGATGCATCAGGAAGTCAAAACAATTCTTATTAGGTTCTTTTCTACATAGAACTCAAAAGATGTTTTGCTAGTAATTCTTTTTAACTAATCATTGCTTACGCCAAAATAGAATTTTTTAGTATTTCACAACACTGACAACTGGCCGGCATGTTTAAGCAACTTGTTTACCCCATAGAAATTTGTACTTCTTCAACACACGGAACCACAACATTCTTCCTGGTCCTTTCAAGCCTTGCTTGCTTACAGATTTAGAAATGTTACAGATCCTCTTACTATTATCAAAAAGATCACCTTATTGGTGAAAATACATGTCTTATTACTGTTTAATACTACTTTGAAATAGAGGAAAGTGGCCTATAGTGAGACACCTAACAATATCTCCCCTTTATTTAAAAACGATCATGGTAAATTTCATAGTAAACAAACTCTCAACAAAGCTGTTGAAAAGAGTCAGCTTATTATTCCCAGTAATTCTCCCCAATTTTCTATCCCACAAGCAATTTCTAAGAAACAATTCATGACTATCTGAGATAGTCATGAATATCTCTAGTGCCATGTCTATGTAACAAGTTCCATTTTTTTTTTCTTTTAACACTGTCACTTCACTGAGGAATCAGATAGGCTACAACTGCCACAGGGTTTTAGCAACAGCCCAGCTGAGGGCTAAAATAATCACGAAAAGCTCCCCCAAAATGAACTGATAAGCTATCTAGAAACCAGTTATTTCTTCTAACCTTGTGTATGCAACAGCTGATGCCAGAGATATATTAGGATATAAATAAATCAATGGTTTTTAATAATACAAACCCACCACCCAAATTCTTAAAAGTCCCATGACCAGTGATAACTCAAGCTGCTCTATTCTACTACAGCAAATACTACCTACCTCTAAATATAAAGTTTCTAGTACATGAAATTCAATGAATTATAACTCTGGCTAATGTAGAATTACTTGGTTGAGAATGAGAAATCTGTAGGCAGCTGTCGAGTGATTTCTACTGTTTATTCTTTTAGAGAATGTCTTCATACCATAAGAGCCATATATATTCCTTTACAGTAAGAAAATCTGGCTCAGTAGCACATATAACATACTGATATTTACTCAGTTAATTCATTTTTGACAGTCAATAAATGTAGCTTTCTCTGTTTCTTACTTAAGATTGTGGTCACCCAGTGAGGCTTTCTCAAATACATTTGCTGGTCCTGCTGACTTGATCATCTATCCTCATAATTAGTTGCTTGAAATCATGGACAAGGCCTAAATTTAATAAACTCAAACTTTTCAAATGTGCTTAGCATGTGCTTTTATGTTTTAGGCACTTTTTTTTCCCCACTCGTTTGAGAAACTTATTAAACTGATTTCCAAGAAACAGAAAATGAAGAAAACTGATGCTTTAAAACACAATAGGTCTACATCACAGCTAGTTCTCAAAGAACTCAGGCTGCCTCCAGGAATTCAAGTGAAACTATTATGGAGGGAAAATACAAAGCCCCAGTTATTTTCCTAAAACTGAAGGTTGTTTGTCTAATCTCAAAAGGAGCTACTGTTTCAGTTATAAATCCAGCACCTGGCTCAACGAGCCTTTTCTGTCTGTCTGTCTGCCTTCAACATGGCTACGTGGACAGTAGAAACATTTGGACGAATACACTGGAGATTTCAGCACCTTGTCAAAACACATTTATTTTGAAGGACTTTGGATGGATTATTGGCATTATATGTATTTAAGTTAATACTTTTTTTCTTCTAAGTATTAGAATTTTAGATTTTGCACTGAAACCCAAAATTGCCTTGACTGGCAGTTTTCCATCATCCTCACTAACAGAACTGTTTCACATCCTACAAGCTATTTTCAGTAACTAGTTACCTGCTTGTTCAACATCACTGATATGTAACAATGGGTCTGGGGGCAGTTAATTATTCTCCATAAATATTCAAAGAACAGAGCCTAAAGCCATTTCTTAACATCCAGGACACTATGCCAACAAACTGCATCGAAAGTTTGGGAGGTGGATATAGCTCAGTGGTAGAGTGCATGCTTAGTATACACAAGGCCTTGAGCTCAATTCCCTAGTACCTTCATGAAAGAAGGAAAG